CAAGGGGCTCAAGGCAGAGCCCCCCACATGCTGTGTGGGGCAGTGGGGGGCAGCAGGGATCACCCCCCTCCAGGCAGCACCAGTGAGTGGGGGTTTTTTTTAAGCACCAGGAGCTGGGCCGGGCAGGGCAGCCATGGAGGGAGGGCTGGGGGAGCAGGCAGGGGATGGGGCCTGGCAAGGGTTGCCCCATGTTCCCCTCCCCCACCCTCTACTTACCAGCTCCAGGTCCAGCTCCACTCCCTGCCACAGCAGGCAGGGACTGCCCAAATCGTTGAAGCTCTCTGCATCTTTTCCAAAGATTCAGAGAGCTTCGAATTGATTCAGACCTTTTTATTGGTCCCTGATTCGATTTGGATTTGGAGATTTGACTACCAAATCAGACTGAATCTCCTCCAAATCAAATCAGCACCTCAAGCTTTGCACAGCCCTAGTGCTCAGCCTTCTGGCTCCATGGGTCAGATGAGTGATGCAGGGCCAGTTAATGGGCCAGACCCATGGGGTCACCACCAAGATTGGACTTTGCACTGTCCAAATCCTGTCTCCACATCACCTGGAGCCCAGCAGATCATGCCCTATATTTCACATGAAGGGCTATGCTATCCACCCATAGGGCTCCCCATAGGTCTGGAAATTTGCCAGCAGAGGACTAAGAATCAATGCTTGCATCCACCGCTTACCCTCCACTAAAATTTTGGGCCTATGGGGATCCCTGTGGGCCAGATAAAATGGCTACACAGACTGAATATGGCCAATGGGCTAGGGGCTGAGCATCCCTGTCTTAACTTAAAAAGCTGTGGAGATGATAATGTGCAGCCTCAAAATGGGGCAAATTGGTTAGGTGTCAGTGTGCTGACATAATACAGCAGCATCACAAAGCACCCTGGAGAGTGTGAATGAGGCCATAAGTAAGTGAGGTAAGCTTTTATAATAGCTACTTGGACGGGGTGGGGCTCAGATGGGACAGCTCTACGGCAAATGTATTTTTTGAGGAGTCACTGAATGCTAGTATCAAGCTTTGTGCCTCTCCAACTTCTGCTGGAACTCTTCAGAGTTGGCTGGTTTTTCCAACTTAACTGAGAATATGTAAAAAAAAATTTTTTTTTCATTTTCTCTGAATTAGGAGTGTACAGGACTTCAGTAAAAGATTTTAGTGGCATATGCAGTTCATCATTCATAAATTAGTAACAGGTTTGACAGGCCAATTTTGCACACTCATTCACAGTACTTGCTGAGAGCACAGATTCCATATTATACTAGCTGTGAACAGTATCTGGCGTCTGCAAAACCAGAAACTTGAGCAACTCCAGTGAAATTTGGAGAGCAGCTGCACACAGTATTGATGTGTGTTTGAGTGCTGTTTATCTTCCAGAGACACAAGCACAAGGACTGTTGCCAAGAGTGACAACCTAATGAAAATGATCATTTTTGCACAAGCAGTTTTGCAAGTTTATCAGCATAATTCAAATAGCATGGCTAATTTTAATCCTGTGTAACTGCTCAAAATGACCAACTTCATGTTGGTGGCAAGGATATATCTTTGGGGGTGTGGGCAATTTCATTCTTTGCCGCTCACATAGTTTCTGAACTATCGTGGCTATAACATCATTCCAATGCTACTCTAGCTTCATGTTGCCAGTTTTGATCTGATGCTGTATAAATAAAGAAAATTAGTAATTCTCTGTTGGCACAGAAGATGGGATTTCTGATAAATAAGTTAACATTCAACTTAACGGTCAGTATGACATGCTGATTCACTAACACATTTTGTACCAAAAAGAAAATGCAGGTAATGAATTTAAGTGAAATGATCCACATTCTAGCAGAACAAATTCCCCTAAAAATAACACTCACCAGTTCTGGTTCTGAATGACTCTTGCTAATTTCAATTTGGCACAGAAGCTTAATCTCAATAAAGTTGCCAGGTAAATACCAAGACAGATGGACTTTTGTTGGGCTTTCACCAGCAACAGTGAATTTAGAAGGAGTTTTTGGATGAACTGAAAAATAAATATAAAAAGACAATTAGCCAGGTATTTTGCAGGGAGGGGGTGGGGTGGCAATTACAGAAGATGACAAAACTTGTATTTATCTTTAGTTCTGTAACGAAAAGATGTTTCTCTTTAAAATACTAACAACAACTCAGAAAAGAAACAGAACATTCATCAGATTAACTATTATGACAGCTGCTGTTGTGAAGGCACACATTTTGCCCATGATGAAATTTCTGGCTGACAGCCACAGAAATAGTTTTACTTAGGTCAGAAACTTTAATTGTCATAATGGAATCCGTGACAAGGAGCTAGAGTAAGGAACAGCACAGTATCATTCCTCTTAATTGCTATTGATTTTGCTACAAAGGAACAGCAATTACAAGGAATATAGTGGCTGTTTCACAAGATCATATTGATATTTGCCTAGAGCAGGAGAGTAACAAAGATGGACAAAATAATAATAATAAAAATCTCTCTTACAAAATGGAGCAGCATAAAATTATATAACATTATTTTCTGCCCAGTTCCTTTAATTTCCTCCTCCCCTCCCTCCTTTTTTTAAAAATAATTTCCTTTTCTTTTTGAAGGCTGACAGCAGTGAGGGACTCTTACTACTGGATCTACTATTTTAGGGAAAACACCATACAGTGCACATACAAGCTCTCTAGCTTACTAATAGATGTGTGTTGTGTCTGAAAACTGCACAGAGATGATACCAATGAGGGAGAAAACAAGTGGAATGAAAACTAGTAAAAACATTATTCTTTAATGTTACTACTTGTACGGCAGCCCTGCATTCTAAGTAGCTGAGGATTTGATTCAAGTATTACCTGACAAATTGGCAGTGCTGGTGCAAAATTAAAAAGTATAGGGCAACTGTAACTGGAAAATGTATTCAAATACAAATTCTAATCATGAACATTTGAATGCAATTTTTGATGTATTGCTTGTCATTATAGTTTTCAAAAGGAAAATCTGAAGACTGCAGAAATACAGCTCTACATACAGGCCTTAGGGACATAGAAGTGTAAGTGTTACATTTTACTGCTATTTGGTAAGGCTCAATCTTGCAATGACTTATGCAGGTGTTTAACCTTATGCCTCATGAGCAGACACTTAAATCATTAGATCACACTCAGAGTTCATAAGGTTAAGATTGCACATAAGTCTTTACATGATCAAGTTCTAAAGAAGTTGCACATTTAATTATTACTGGAACACTTTCTTGCAGGTAATTGACATCAAAGTAGATAGTACTAGTACTGAACTGGGGATCAAGGCACCAGCTATTAGACCTCCCTGCTTCCCTAACATTTGCCAGCACATGCCTTAGTAAATATGCTTTTTACTCATTTCCCCCCTATTTGATAATTCAAGCCAATGACTGAAACAAATTACAAATGACTACAGTAATTGCAAAAATTCTAGCTGGAGCAGCACCTCACCACTGGCACCCTATTATTTTAAAAACACACATTTCCTGCATACTAAGCCTCCTCTTGATCTGTCTTTTTGGCTCAGTACATCTAATTCTCACCTCTTTGGTTTATATCAATTGAAAGTGATGACTCTGATTGACCAACAGGATTGAAAGCTTGTAGAGTGAAATTGTAGATTTTCTGAGTGGCAAGCACTGTAAAGATGCACACATTTCCCATGGTATTTTCAATTACTCTGCAGGTACCATTTCTCCCAGATATTCTGTAATAAGGGGAAGGCAGGATAAAGAAAAGAAGAGTTAATTTTTTAACAATCTATTTAATGGTACTAAATTAAGTTTCTCAGTACAGATTTCAAAGGATGACATCTCTAAAGTTTTTGCCACATAGTGGTCTTGCATCATGTAAAACTTTCCCCCTGATCTTGACAAACAGTGTATTTCTGTGCTTTTATGCTACTACAGGCATCACTTTCCTAGCATAATGCTTTGACCATATCATCTCCCTGCTCCCCCACCCCCCAATGCGCGCACACACGCACACAGCATTTGAGACAGAGGCTAAGAGTGAGTTCATAAAGTTTGTCATGGCCCAATCCTGCCCTCCCATCTATGTATATTGAATTGCATTCATTTAGCAAAACCATGGATTATTGCTCACTTGTTTAAAAAAAAATCCAAACAGAACCTTTGTTTGAATTGACCAGGCTGTCCCTTATGCATAGGAAGGGTTCCTCAACTACCTATAAAAAGCTATGTTATTGTTCTTCAAAATTGCTCCTGCAGACATCAGTTTTGTTAGATGGCATGATTCAGCATATTCAGGCAGTACTTGCTACATACTGCATTAGAGAAAAATGAAGGATCTTCATGTTTTCTTGTGCTCTCACATCTGTTAATATATCTGTTATAATCTTCTAATGCACTTGACTATAAGCTCTTTAGAGAAAGGACAGCCTTGTACAGTGCCTACTACAAAGGGACCCTGGTCAACCAGGTTATGCTGTAAACATGAATAAAGTCACTAACAAAAGTCTTAGGAAAAACCCATCCTGATGATATTACATTGCAGGATAATAGTACAATCCTGGGACTTTATTTTCAAAGTTCCAACACGTCTATATTTCATATGCAGTTTATAGCTTGTAGAAAGATAAACAAGATGCTAAACCCACAAGCAGAGAACTAACCTGCACAGGTTCTGGGAGCCTAGCATAGGCAGGCCTCAGGCTAGAGTAAGACTTAGATGAACTCTAGTTACACAACTTAAGGTAAGTAGAAAGTATGGTGAAGATGTGTTTACCCAAATCCAAGATAATCTCCCAATAATTAAACACAGAAAAAAAAAATGTAATTTTCCCTATATAGAAATTATTGGAGGCTCGTCTTAAATTCATCTGTCTGTCTCCTCCACTGTTGCAGTGGGGAAAGCAATGGCAGGGCAGTAAGGGGAGGTCAAGCAGCTTGACCCCTACCCCTTGTCCCCCCAACACCTTGGTCCCTGCTGCCTCTTGTTGTCTCCCCCATACCCATGCCTGGCCCCCACCTTGACCCCCCACACCCTTTCTTCTACCTGCCTCCAAACATAACAGCTTAGAACTTATTTTTTAGACTCAAGGCACCCCTCAGAAAATGCCAGCCCTTAGTTTTCACTCATTTTTGAGTACATAAAAAATTCTGTGCATCTGGATCCAAGAATGCAATATGGAGCACAGGGCCGTATTATCTAGCCAGAGGACTTCCTCACAGTTCCAGATATTCAGCAGCAGGGATGTGGCAATTAACACTGGCACAACTCCCCTGCCACCAAATGTCTGGGTCACTGAGGAGCCTGGTGGACTGGATGCCACAGCTCTGGGGGCCAGATCTGGCCAACGGGCCAGGAGTTGAGCTCCCCGGTTTAGAGGATGGCCCCTGATGCCAATGTTAAGAGAGCTGCAAGATGTTTCAATAGTCAGTACTTATATAGTTAGCATTTATCCTGTTCACACCAGTTTTTCCTTGGGTTAAACATGTGTAGTAGTATTGATTTTACAAGTGCTTCTTATTCTGACCTGTGTCTTGTTCATATTTTAGGTTGTGGTTGTGTCTATTTTGTTTGAGTTTCTAATAAAAGCATGTATACAAATCACCTGTCCCCACTGTAGGGTGCTCCAGGGCCTATTTAACAACCAACTCTAAACAGCACAGAGTTCGTGGCTGAAATAAGTATGCAGAAGTACTTTAGGAAGCCTGTATCAGACTGCTCCCAATTCTAACTTTCTAACCATTTCTATACTAAATTGAATTACCTTTCAGATAAAATGTAGTTTGTTTGGCGTGATGCAAAGAGTTCAGTGGGTCTTCCTGGGTTCCAGGTACATATTATTTTGTCCAAGGTGTGTGTTTCACAAGTCAGATTTTGTGGAGTATCAGGGGGATCTGCCAAAAAGGAGGAAAGCAAGGAAATCAGCTTGCATTCTTACATAATTAGCCATAACATAGAAAGCTGGACAATTTTCTGGAAATCATGTTCAGCAATTAATACTATGTTTTTACACTATAGCATACACATACAGACGCCATTAAAACCCAAGCACATACATAATTTATTTATAGGATATACTTTAAAAAACATTAACAGTCCCAAATAACACTTGACTTTTACTGAACTACCAGCTCACTTGCTCACATGCACAGTACATCCAAATTTGTAGGATCTGGGCTTTGAACTGCTGGCATTGCACAGTTTTGTAAAAGCATGTTTCAAAGTTTCCAAATTACATGTTCTTTGAGACAATCTAAGAAAGTTCTCTTGTTACATGTCATTTTGTCAAGTGCAAGCCTCAATTCTACATAGAATGCACTTAACGCACTTAATTGAAGCATTTCAAAGAAACGAACACCCAAGGACCTCATAAACCTCCTCCTTCCTGCCAAAAAATTTGGAGTATGTGTTCAGTACTGTATGCACACTTCATCCTTCTGGGCTGCTTTGTTAACACCATCCTTCATTTTCATTTAACACTGATCTCTCAAACTCAGACCCCAGTACTTCAGCAACCACTTCTCTGACAAAAGGACTGACTGCCATTCTCTTCCCAGGGAAGTCCCTACAAAATGTCTTTCTGTAGTCAGCCCAGAAACCAGGAAAAAATTCAAGAAATAGGAGCTGACTGGAATGAGACAGTCCTCTCTTCAATATATCAGTTGTGTGCACTTTCCCCATAAGACAGGATGACATTTTCTCAGTGGCTGATTTGGGAGGGAAGACCTTTGTACACAACTGTGAGTAATGAGAATCTCAGTTCACATTATGAGCAATTGCCAGATGAAAAGCATTTAGCTCACCAGAGCAGGTTATTTATCTGATAGACAGACATATTTAAACGTACAGTTAAAGCAGATATCAAACACCTTAATATACAGCTAGATCTTCTACCTTATTTTGCCCTCTCTTTCCCATACCAGAACAGTGTATCCAAACAATATTTGTCTCAGCCCCCCACTGACAATCATCTCCTACAGTGAATAGCCCTGGCACCACAGACAGGAGTTTGGAAAAAGTTGAAAACATCCATTTTTTAAGAATGAGCACACCTGCAGACCCTGCTTGTGTTTCATGGGCACCATAGTGGGCCTCGCGTGATCCACAGCCCGCATTTTGTGTGTCCCGACTTATATTTACAAGTAACAGTCCTATAGAAATGGGGGATATATAAGAATAAACCAAAAGATCAGCTTTAAAAAAAAGTTTCCAAAGAGTCAATCAGTCATGAAATGCAGAGACCAAAATTCTAAGTACTTTTGACTGCTTTCCTGTCAGTTTTTTCTAATGTCATTGTGAAAATAACCCTTTTCTCCCCAAAATGGCAAGGAGTTGTATCACTGTGCTGTTGGAGGTGGTCCAGAATATTTTTTTAGCTATGTATGTAGGAGATTTGAGGCTTGTATGCCTACACAGAGAATACAGTCAATAATCAAATATCATATGATCTTTTTCATTTGTTTTTCAAAAATAAATTATTTACCATGAGAAATAAAGATTTTTAAACCTGGATTCCTTTACTATGATAAGGCCCAGAAAGCTCTTGCCTCAGGCAGGGAACTTCAAGATTCAACCTACCACTCTGAACAGGTCAGGGTGCATTTTTGGCAGTAATGTAACATGACAGATCAGTAAATTAAAGGTTTAAATTTCTTCATCTCCCTTCACCCATCATGTGGGAGTCAAATCAAATTACACACATGAGAATTTCTACAGATTGGCAAGAAGAACAGGTGTATACATACTAGTAAAAATTAAAGCTAATCTTCAAAAACTAATTGGCCGCCAAGTATTCTGGAGAACGACTTTGGTCATGCGATCCCAAAGAAGGATAAGGTGGTCCTGAACGGCCAGGTTCTCATGCAGATCATCTTATGCCGATTCAGGCTCTTAGGCTGCAATGCCTTTAACTGAGCATTTGGGGAGTGCAAGTTGAGTAAGCGGAGATAAGCAGGCATGGTTTTAAAGAACTCCAAGACAAACACTGCTGAAAACCAGGGACTGGGCCAAAACTGCATAGTTTTAATGCAAGCCACAAAACCATGTTGATTTCAAGCTGATCAAGCCAACAAACATCTAGTTCAGTCACAGTCACAATAGATATACTTACATCCTACAAATAAAACAGTTCCCTCCACGCCATAGGGCAGCAGTGAACACCAGATATTTGTCCCACTAGATTCTGAAGCTGTGACGTTCTGTACTGTGATTGCACTGCTCCATTTGCTGAGATGAAGAAGTGGATACGAGTCTAACCCATATTTAATATGTTCTATTCTTTCATCTTCATTGTGTAAGCAGCAAAATGTCATATTGGAACCAACTGGTACCACTTTGTCCTGAGGAAAAACCTTGGCAAAACTGGACTTAGGCTCTTCTCCTAGCAGAGACGGGAAAAAAAAAAAAACATGATCAAATAATTTTGTAGTTTTATGATATCTGATGAGTTTCTTATGCATTCAGCTGACCAGCATCCAATTTAAACACTGTTCAGAAACACTCAGGTTGGTATGTTCTGCATCTCTCCAGTAAAAGAAATAAAAGTTATTTTTAGCTGAGTTTATCCACTCTCAGCCTGTTAGACTTTACCATCTTCAACTGATTTATTTATTAATTAATAAAAACACAGTCCTACGAGATCTACAACAATCCATCAACACTTTAAAATTCAAAGATAACATTTTCCGTTCCATCTTTCTTTGGAATTTGGCAGATTTTAAAGATGGTTAAATTCTTTCCAATAACTTACCAGGAACTGTTTCAATTGGGCTCCATTCACTCCATTCCTTGTTACCACCATAATTCATTTTATTTATATAACATCTGATCCTCACAGAGTGCGACACGCACTCCAGGGGCATGTCTGATTTCCAGTTCCATGAAAGAACAGTGTCTTTAGAAGTCAATTTTGAATGGTAGGTCACCTAAAAACATAGCAGGATAGCTTTATTTGATCTTGTTTTCCCTCCCAATGAAGACAGACACTACAGACACCTGTCAACAAACACGCACCTTCTTTCTGGTATCACTACAAAGGCAAATTTCATTAAATACATTACATATCAAAAAATCCAGAAAAGTGGTTTGATTATCCCATAGTGTAACTGAGGGGGGTCGGGTGGGGTGGGGAGGGAAACGGTGGAGGAAAGGGCACAAAAATAGCTGCCACTGCAGCAGTAGCCACGCAGGCTACCTACACCGACATGGCAGTAGCCAAAACTGCCCTGTGCATCATGAATGCTCCAGTTGTGGGGACTGCTTGTGTAAGACGCTCCTTTTGTCAGGAAGCTTATGCAGCCAGAGCACAAGATTCACAAATATTAGGATGCAACTGAAAATGCAACAAAGGAGATTGAGTTTTTTACATTTTCTGCCATTATGATAAGAAACTAGATCTTATAGGCACTATGACATGGATCTACTCTGCAATAATCTGTGAATACTGTATGCTGATGAGGTTACTGGGGTTTTTATTGTTTAAATATGCTGGGTTAGTTTAACACAAGGTTGTAAGGAAAAGCAAACTGACAGGTAACAGTCATTCAAGATAAGCCAGCCCCTGTTTAAAATTTGAGGGTAACCACAGGACCATGGCAAAGTCGCTGGCTCTGAGAAGTCTGATTTGGCTTCCTGTTCAGCTAAATACATTTATTTGCCCAAGTATGGTATACATTTATTTGGCCAAATACAGGTCAAAGCCCAAGAAATAACAAGAATTAACTGTGGCATATAAGGGGATCTCTCTTGAGAAAGTAGTTGTTGAGGAGGTTTTAGCAGTTTACCCTCACTTGTGGTGTGTGTGCAGATATTGTATTTACTTAGACATACATAAGATGACTCTGTATGTAAGATGACCTCCACCAATAATTAGATTCCAAATAGGGAAAATTTCTAAAATTTGTTATCATTTTCTAGGAACAGAATCTAATTAGTGGAGGCTTGCCTTCACTTTGTCCCTCTCCCACTGCTACAGCAGGGAAAATAAATCGGGGGGGGGAAGAGGTCAGATAGCTCCTTTGCCCTCTGCTCCAACGTTTTGCCCCTGCAGACCCTTTCTTACTGTCATACCCTGCACTCCCTGAGCACATGGGTGTGAGAAGCAAAAATAAACATACCTGTATTAACCTGAATGTAAGAAAACTACTACACGTACCCACAGACTTAGTTCATTCAGAATTGATGCAGTGTACTTTTTTTCTGAACTTCTACAAGTTTTAACACAGGTAGTCAGTCGATAAGCACACTTTTAAGCAGCACTTCTATACCTACTTGTATATAATACAAACTCTGCTTTCTTGGTTTTTTTGCAAAAATATTTACCCACACACATACACACCCCTCTACAAACCTGTTTCATGACCGACATGGTTCACTCAACAGTCCAAAACTCTTTCACATTCCCATTACAATAACTACATCATGCACCCACACTCCCACATGCCTGTCACCACCCCTGTAAACCATCGCAGCCATGCAAAGAACCATTTCAATGCCTCCTGTGTGCCTCTTCCATTAGCCCAAAGCCAAAAGTCTCATGACACTATATAGTTCACTGGGCTGGCCCCAGCAGAGATAACAGCAGTTCAAGTCATGGTGACCCCATAATGCAACGCTGCTCAGTATGTGTGTGTTCCAGATACCCCCCCACAAAGGATCTATGTGCTAATTCGCCCCGACTCAGGACTAGAACCAGGTGTTCCTGTCACAAGTCCTGGGATCCTCCAAAAATTTATATGCAGAGAAGATACTGGGCAACCTGGTCTGACTCCACCCCATGGAGGGCAGGACCACACTAATCATAAGCAGCAGGCTGAGAGAGGGGCTCAGAGAGGGATATTGGATAACCTGTTTGGGGCTCCATTTGGTGATGTTTGTCTGACATGTCAGACATTAAGAAACAAGACTCATTGGAAATGGGAAAGAAAGGTATGGCCCAGTTGTGGGAGTGAAGAGGAAGCTGAAATGTATTTAGTGTAGGGGATTACCATGACTTCAAAATGAGTCAACACTGAGGGGGACTGAGCACTATGGGCACTACCACATATCTTATTTAGAAGGATTATCCCAAAAAGTGGCATTAAGCTCAAGCAAATGGACTGCGCTACAATGTTTCTGAGCAAACTCCAGTCCTACTACTGGAAAGCAGTGGGAGAGGACAGAGGGGATGCAGCCAACTCCATATGGAAAAGGGACATGTAGCACAGGCTGTTCAAACTCTCCTTGGGAAGGGATGCAACAGGGAGAATGAAGGGGACAATGATGCAAGTGAACCTGGAGACAGCAAGGAGGACAACAGGATCAGCAGCAGTGGAAGTGACAGCAACCATCAACAGCAACAAGGACTGTGAACGAACTGAGAAGGGAAACCCCAAATCGGGGCCAGGACTAAGGGACTGTGCTTGGGTTAGAGAAGGGCAGAGGGTGGGTGCACGTAGGCGCAGGGGAGTGAGTGTGGTTACTGGAATGGGTGCACAGGTTTCTTAAGGTGGTTTTAAAAAGAAAAGGTGAGATGGAAGTCTATGATAGAGGATGTATATATCTATATATCTCTATATAGAGATAGATATATTTTAATTTTTAAAAAATGGTCTTTTGGCTCAGAGGGAAATACTGTGACTACTAACTAAGGCAATTTTCCCAGGGGCAGAGGATAACTGCTTTTCTGGCACGGGGTAGTACCTGGGTGGAGGTAATGTGTAGTTACCCTCCCACTTTCATTTCCAGTGGGAAGATCTTGGCTTTATGCCCACTTTATGGAACTGGGAGATTCCTCCCTATCTTGCTCCTGCAGCTGTATGGCTGTGGGCAAGCAAAACTTGAGTGCAACGAAACCCAAAGCCTCTGGGCTTGGGTTTGCACGTAGGATGCCTGCCAAATGATTTGAAAACGTCTGGAGCCGCAGGTGGAGGAAGTTTGCCGGTAGTAGTCATATAAGGTTCTTGAAAGACTCATGGATTTGGAATTGATTTGGCTTGAAACACAAAAAATTTTCCTTAAAAAAAACAAAAAAAAAAAGGAACATGTATTTTTGCAAAAAGCCTCCAAATGTGAGCATTTCAGCTCCACAATGTATAGCAATAGGGGACTGCTCTTGGGCTTTCCCTCTAGCTTGCTCCTTTGGTCTTTTGGCTAGGTGCAAGTGAGACGAGGGGTCATCTGAACTCCAAGGCCTCCAGACCTGGGGTTTGTACATAGGAGGCCTGTCATGGATTTGGGAGGATCCAAAGTCCCAGGCTGATGAGCCTGGTTTCATCCGATTAAAAATTGCAAATTCTCTGATTAAAAACCCAAAATCTGTGGTAAAAATTAAAGACCCTCCCAGCGCTGCTGGTGCCCCACACTCCCCCCTCCCCCCACAGCCTCAACATCCCTCCTGATGCCCCTCACAACAGCCCCCTAGACACAGAGGCACACAGATACTTACACCCACCTCACCAGGTAAGTGTGTGGGGAAAGTGTGGGGCAAAGGGAAGGTGCTGGGGAGTAGATCAAGAAGTGGGGGAGCATGCCCTGTGCCCACTCCCAGGAGCAGGGGCGGGGAGTGAGGGCAGGGGTGCCACTCTGAGGGCCACACCTGCGCTGGCCAGCCTGACAGGGGGTTCACACATGGAAGCTGCCACCGCAACTCTGCCACTGCACCCTGTGCTACCATCCCACGGCCACCCGCACAGCTTTGTGGGCAAGTGGCGCAGGGCACGCCAGCGTGATGTCAATCACGGTGTGCGGACCACATACATGCCGCCCGGCCGGGGGGGTAGAAAGTGGGGCTTACATGCAGTGGCCACCACTGCACCGCTGCTTATGCCTCGCAACCGGCTGCACAGCTCCACAGCAGTGCAGGGTGGTGGCGGCGGCTGCGTGCTGGCTGGGGATGCTGCCACCACGGAGCCATGCCCTTTGCCCCTGAATCCTAGAGGTAAGTGGGGCTTGGGGGCTGCGTGGCAGGCCTGGCTCTGCAGAGCAGCGAGGGATGGTGGCTGGCAGGGGCTCGCATGCAGTGGCTGCTGCTGCTTACTTATAGGGTCATGCCAACGGTGACAGCCGCTGTCTAGAAAATCTCCTGGCACTGCCGCAAAGCCATGCCCAGGGCTGTGTGGCCAGCTGCAGGGCAGCAGCGGCACTGTGGTGGTGGCAGCCGGGCAGCACACAGCCATTCCCACCACCATCCTGCGCTGTCACCACACTGCTGCTGCCACCTGGCAGCTGGCCGCACAGCTCTGGGCATGGCTCCAAGGCGGCAGCGGTGGCGTTGGGAGGTTCTGTACACAGCGGCCGTCTCCACTGGCACAGCCCCGCAGGTAAGCAGCAGCGGCCGCTGCATACAGAACCTCCCCACACCACCACGCCTGGAACTGTGTGGCTGGCTGCATGGCAGCAGCATGGTGGCGGTGCAGGGTGGTAGCAGTGTGCCCCACCCCAGCCCCATCTCTCACCATCACTGCAGAGCTGGCCACGGAGCTGTGCAGCTGGCTGCATGACAGCCTCCTCCTCCCTCTCCCCTGGGCATCTAGCCGGGCAGCATGTGTGCGGCCCGCACATGGCAGGCACCACCACACTGCTCCGCATCGCTTGCCTGCAAAGCCCTCCACAGAGGGGCACCTCTGCTCTCACCCCCTGGCCCTGCTCCCAGCTGCGGTGTGCTGCCTGGGACCTGCAGCACTCCCTGCTCCCTCGACCTCCAACCACCTTCCACAGCCCCCAGGCCCCACTTACCTCCAGGCACCAGGGACAAAGGGCGAGTCTGAACCTGAGACCAGCCATGGTTGACTCAGAGGCCCAGGCCCCGCCCTTCTCCCTCTCCCTCCCCTTCCGGCAGGGCTGGGGGTTTCCCGCCCTTTCTGCAACCAGCTCTTGCAGGCTGGAACTGTACCAGCCTGCCAGAGCTCTTTGCAAAGTGGAGAATTCACAGATTTCTCTGCTAAAAAGGGAAATATGTGTTTTCCCCGATAAAAACAGGGAATCCATGTTTTTCTCTGTTTTTCTGTGGGAAAAAGAAAACCTGGATCCCTGCTGAGGAGTCTAGGAGGTAGCATACTTGCTGGTGGTAGCACCACACAGACTTGAACAACTGAGCTCTTCTCAGTCAACAGAATTCAGAACTGTTTTAGCTTATTTGGTCTTAGACATGAAATTTAAAAAATGTGGTAGGTTCCCATTGTCATCTTAGCCCTTTGGCTAAAATCAAACATTTCTGGCACTAAAGGGAAGGTGCCAGGGCTGGCTCTGGCCTTCCTGCTACCAACCTGGTATTGCAGTACCTCCCAGTCTGCTGCCAGTTCCCTATGAAGGTAACACCTGCCTTTTTTATTTTTTTTTTTGTTTCTAAGGGCCAAAAAAACCCCCAACAAAACAGCTTTCTATCAATATGCTTGCCCCAAATGGACCCTGGTTTTTTTATAATCATGTTCAGGCTGTATTTAATTGACTTTATGGTTAGTTTCCATTATTGAGCACATGCTGCTCTTAAAAGTAATTTGATGATAGAGAATGTACCAGTATTCTCTACCAAATGACCTTGCCAGGGTCGTTTGACCCCAGAATTCTTTCCTGCCATGGCAGGGGGTCGGACTTGATGATCTGCTCAGATCCCTTCTGACCCTACCAACTATGAAACTATTTAGAAAGGTTTTCTTGTATGCAATTGTAAGACAAGAGACCTTCCCCCCCATCTTATATTTGAACAAATACAGTAAATCTACCTAGGCCACCCGTCTCAAGACAGTACAGCGTTAGAAACACTGACTGTTTTAAAAACCTTTTTTTTCTAAACACACAGTTCTATTTGGTGAAAATATACTGTTTAAAGAAGACTGTCTGGTCACTATACTCCCTCTTATTTAACTGCTATCGGAAAGGGTGCTGGAATCCATCAGGCCTGTCCAGTAACCATAGTGCAGCAGCCTATTGCCAGCTGTACAAGCAAGAGGATTGCAGAACTTCATCAGTGAAGTTGTGTGTGTTGGACTTGAGACCATTTCAAATCAACCGAACTAAGCTCCAAGTGGCAGAATGCTGTAGCCATACTAAGAAGAAGGAATTTACAGGTGAGAGGAGAAATAGATAAAAGACTTTAAAAATCAATAATGCAACTGGGCACATAACTCAAAATGGAATCAGAATTACCTGCCCTGGAGCGTGGCCAAATGAACCCAAACTCAGGGCCAGACCCTGCTCCACCTTCTAGGCACCAAGAGTGACTGCATTCCCCCCTGGTCAAGTTCCTGAAAATCCATTATTGAAGCATTTTACAAAAATAAATGCATTTTAGCTTTAAAACTGAGGTCATGCTTAGACACCTAAGGAGGTAGAGCTGGATCTGGCCCCAAAAATTCAGGGTCAGTGGCTATTCTGAAAAGGTAAATAATTAACCAAGAAGAATCTCTCTTCTTCAGACATTTCTGCCAATGACAGGGCTTCCAATGAGCTTCTTTGATCAGTTAAACCTACCAGCACTGAGCAGCACCAACTATCTGCGTATTTATAAAGTATTTTTTCCATTACCATCCTAGCAACACTCGCCTGTTTGGTCTCAAACATTCAGAGTTCTGTGCCTGTAACAAAACTGATACTCCACTCCTTGTATAGAGACTAGGAAAGCACAAAACCATGCCTACATAAACTGACTGGCTTTAAAGGGCTACAGAGACAACTGACAGCAAGTCAAGCCCCAAATGCACAAAGCAGAGTCATTAAAACCAACTTTTATTCTTATGTCAACAATAAAATTAAAACAATAACAAAAATCCCCCACATTTCTAAATGGAAGCCCTCTCAAACTGAAAAAGTTACTCTTTTCTCCCACCACTTTACATTATTTCTACTCCTCTGATAGCTTTAAAAAAAATAAAATTACATGAGTAATATCCACCTATAGCACAGTTCCAACTTTTAAAAGGACTTCCCCAAAAATAAAGAAGAAAAGCATATGTATTATCATAAAAAGAGGACTTACCTGTGTCACTCTCTCCAATGTTTCTTTACGCAGAACCTCAATCTGCCAGGTGGCATCTAAATCAAATGGGAAGGCTGAGCCACCATCCTTCCACTTCAGATATAACATCTCAGTCGAAAAGTCAGGAGTCAAACTAAGAATTTGTGGAGTGAGTGGAACGAATGCTTGAAAAACAAACAAACAAAAAAGTCCACCAAGTCATTAGTTAACAGTATCAGCAATACAGTGTCCACAGGTGCTTAATAATTGCATCTCTTGAGTCTGAACTGGCTTGTAGCCATACCAACATGTGGTTTGATCTCAATAATTAAATGGGTGGTGACATGTCATTACTTGAATGGGAAAGTTCACAGAAAAACACAGGTGCTACTAAAGCAATGCTGGTGACTCAGCAGTTAGTATTTTTTCTCTTCCTATGTTGGAGTTAACCAAATATGCCAAGCATGGTTATTTTTCTCCCCACACTGCACTTTAACACACACTTTTACCTACTTTCTGTTAATGACAGACTATGGCAATTTTTTATCCATCCTAGTACCTCTTCTTTTGTTTCTGTGAAATCCCTTCCAATGAAGTTGTGATAGGATAGGTTTTGTCTAACCACACATTTTTCCAAAGCTTTGGAAAGTAGTAATGCTACACTGCAAAGCTGCCAGGTTTGTTAAACAGTACTGTACTCTTAGAAGCGCTGTTCTCCAGAAGAAAAGAAACATTAAGGTCTTATAATGCTTTCTGTAAAAAGGAAACACTGTTAAAAACTAAAAGTTGGGAAAATTACTTTGCAATTGCTTCCCCTGGTGCTTTCAATGCTAACATTCCTAAAAATTAAAAATGTCAGAGATCACAGGAGCAGATGAGTCTTCCAAGCCAGTGTAAACTAAGACTATGTAGGAGCGTATTATATACTATGCTATATGCTGTATACAATATTAGCATGGGAGTCAGGCTATCCCTGGAGGACACTAGCAGATGGTAGGGGAAAGCAAGATGAACAAATAAAGCAAATGCTGATTAGAACCAGATGATCAGACATGAGAACCAGGGGAGAACAGAGCTACTAATGGTAAAGTGAGAGTACTGAGACAGATCAAGTTAAAAAAAAAAGAGAGAAAGACTACCAATACTGGCTATGGTACTATATGAACTATTGCATTTGATGACATAGGTTGTTGCCTATAAAAGCTCATGACCCCCTGAACCAGTTAGTTTTTAAAGCAGGGGTGGGCAAAGGCTGGCCCATGAGCTGGATACTACCTGCAGCAGACTCCATTTCCCAGCAGCCTCTGCAGTGGCAGCTCCATCTGGCTGCTGCCATTGGACCCAACCCCACTACCTGGGCACCCCAACCTGTCTGCCCCGCACCCACCACCAAGGGCAGGGCATGCGTTGGTGGGCATGTGACCAGATGGGTGGGATGGGGCCACAGCTGGGAGCAAGACAGGTGGGCCGGGGCCAGGGCCAGGACCTTGGGGCAGTATCAGCACAGGGCTGGGGCTCGGGCAGAGCCACGATCTGCTGCGTACATGCCCCTGCGACAAGCACAGGTTACACAGGCAGGGGTGTGCAGGGAGCGGATCACAGCTCTGTTGTAGCCTGGCGCTATCACTGCCCCAAAATCCTGGCTCCTTCCCTGGCCCAACAGTCCACCTAGCACCCACAGCTCCCAGCTGGTCACCATGAAGACCCCATGAGTGCAAGGCCATGACAGTGAGGGGCCAGGGCCAGGCCCGAGCCCTGGTTCTGCAGCTCCATGCTGTCACGGCCTTGCATTCCTGGGGTCTCCATGAAGGCTGGGAGCCATGTGGGCAGGGGACTGCTAGGAAATGAAGCCTGGCCACTGGCCGGATCTATCATTTTGCCCACCCCTGCTCTAACGGGACCACACTGACCCTCCTACTGACTTCAAACTAACAAGGTTAGCCACCTCTGTGACAGTTAGGCTGCTAACAGCTGTTCTCCTGACATATAATGTGCACCCCAATTTTCTCTAGTTGGTTTTGGGGGGGAAAGGTGCGTGTCACATGAATAAGAAAACACAGTGAATGTACAAAGCAAAACGGCATAAATGTGGTTGGCTCTGAGAACTCAAGAGATGTCCTTCACTAGCACATGGCAAGATTATATTATCCATGTTAAACATGATCACATAGATTCATTGAAATTAGGGGCTGGAAGGGACCTTGCAAGATCATCAACTCCAGCCCTCCTGCCATAGGCAGAAAGTCTGCTGGAGTCAAATGACCCCCACAAGATAAGCATCCAAATGCCATTTGAATGAGTCCAGAGGAGGTGCTTGCACCACCTCTGAGGGGATTCTGTTCCATGAAATGGATGAGCTCAGTAAGAGTATGAGCATGGCACGGCACTTAGGATGCCTGCTAGTTTAAGAAGTCAGGCAACTTGCAGAGCTGCCAGTAGGCACAGACCAGGCTAATGGGGAGTCAGCTGACCCAAGACACCAGCAGGTGAGGCTAGGCCTGATAGAGGGAGTCACCTGACTCCAAAGGAGGGCTGAGTTTGGAGCAGGTGTAAGTCCAGGCCCTGAGAGAAGCCTGGCAGTGACATCTTGGAGAACACCACCCTCGCAGGAGGACTGCAGCACTGAAGCACCAGCCCAGAGAGGACAGCTGAAGCAGTCTGGAGGACTGGGGGCTGGAGGAGGTTCCTAGGGACCCAGGCTGGGGTCCGAGTGAACCTAGATCAAGGGGCTTAGTGCAGAAGATCTATTGTGTGGCCTAGAAAAGCCCAGCACAGGAGACCTGTTAAGGGGCCTGAGAGAGTGGACCTGTGAGTGAGTGTGGGCTGGCAGGCTGGAGAACTGACCCCAGCAGAATCCTGCTGGTCTGTCAATGAGGCCAGGGCCCAGGGAGGGGCCAAAGGCCAGAGACGACCACAGCAGGAGACTGCCAGGGCTAGCGAGGGGGCAACTTCTTAAGTGGCCTGAGACAGGGACAGGGCCTAGGACAGGTCAAAGGTCCAGGTGGGGCCACTGCCAGAGAGGAAGGGGGATCAGGGGCCTGCAGCCCAGAGTGAGGATGGCCACACTGGGGCTATCTGAAGAGTAGGCGAGCCCAGGAAAGAGGGTGGTGAAGGGAGCAACCAAGAGAATCTTGCTGGCCTGCCAATGGGGCCAGGGCCCCGGGAGAGGCCAAAGACTGGATGTAGCCTCACGGTGGGAGCCAGAGAGGAGTCCTCAACTGGTCCAAGGTGGGGCCAGGGCCTAGGAGAGGCCACTGCCAGAGAGGAAGGGTTCAGAGAAACTGAGGCCCAGAATGAGGACAGCTGGGACAGGGCCACTGGATGCAAAGGAGGGTCCGAGACAGCACCAAGACCAGGGGGCCCAGGAAAGGCAGGGGCAGAGGAAGAGAGAGCTGGGGCCAAGGGAGTCTGGAGGAGTGACATCAGAAAGGGGCCAAAGAGCATGTAGCCATGGGTGTTGGACAGGGACAGCATGGCTCTGGGGACGGAAGCCGGGACCTAAACTGGTCCTGGATATGACTGAAAACTGCACCCTACTGGGGTTTAGGGTCACAGCGGGGTATGGCAGCTCAGAGAGTGGTTGAGTGAGGAACCAATGGGCCTGAAGACTCAAGTGGGCTGTGCGAGAGACCAAGCAGTCTGAGGGCCCAGGCGAGGGCTGTGCGAGAGACCAAGGGTCTGAGGCATGAGGTCTGAGTGCAGGCATGTAACAAAGAACAACCAAAATGATGCCATCTGCGAGGAATGGGGATATGGTGTAGGAGAGGTACAGAGCCATGCAATTAGCTCATAAGACAACAGACCACAGCCATCAAGTGGTCATTAGAACAAGGCCAGGTCTGGGAAGCCCTGGGGCAGCCTCCCTTTTATAATCATAAAAGACATCAAGGTGTGGCAGGCAAGTGAAGGGGAGACTGCTCCCAGAGCAAGCAGGGTAAAAGGAATTTTCGGCGGCCTCCAAGGGCTTATGAACACCCCTGAGGATGCTACCATGCTACAATGAGACACACAAGTGTTTGACATATTCCCATCCCACATCTTTTTGGCACTGGCGTAACTCAGGAGGGGACATCTGCCACTGCAGCTGGTGCTGCCCCACACATGGCTGCTTCCTGGGGCACGGACTTGCCCTGTTACACCTTTACTTTCTGTAACCTCCAATGACAGTTTCACAATAAATGGATGAGTCTTGCTGTCCTGTACAACAGAGGTTGCATGCCTGTGAGACAGGATGACCAGTGGAGACTGAAGAGAAGCTGGGGAGATAAATTTGTAGGAGAGAATAAGCAGCTCAAAGTTTTGGAGGTATGAAAACTCACCCTTCCTACTACATGCAAAAGAAACAAAGGAAGATATTATTTCCCTTAAACTGTGGTGAGAGAATGGGGATGGAACCTAAACAAGGATTGCTCCAGAAACGTAAAAGCCCAAGAGGTGATAATTGAGTGATTATTTTAGTGTAGTTTTCCCTAAACAAATGAACCCAAGTGAACAAAGTGTTGTAACTAATGCTATTTAACTATCTACTAGTTAAACTACCAACTACCAAGACATGCCTTCTAGCTCAGATCTGCACTTCCGTTGTATCAAATAATTTTCAGTAAAAGTTAGTTAAGATGCACCGGTAATTAAAATGCATCTTATTATCTATCCTATTTTCTTACCCATTCTCTCCAATATTTTCCTGCTTTCTCCCCACCCATCCCCGCAGACTTAGAGGCAGGATCGAAGAGTGTGTGGGGAGAGGGAGGATTCTGCATGTCAACAGCAGTAACTCTTTGCACAGAGGAACTCTGCCAAATAAACAAAGACATTTCCCAAATATTTTAGCTAAATGTTAGTATGAAGACATTTATATATAAACTTGATACTTACAAACATTTTTCTCAGGCATTATGAATGTTGTTGAAGCGAAAGGAGTTCCAGAAGCATTTAATGTGGTTATCTTTATGGTGGTGGAGCCATGCACAATTGGAATATCTGCACTTTTTTCCTCATTTTTATTACATACTAGAAGGCCACTGAAATGATCAGACAAGAATTAGACAAGTGTTTCATGAATTCAGAAGTTGGAGAGTTCTCTAAAGCCAATGCTGTAAAACTTTAAAGATCCAATATAATCTCAAAACAGAAACGGTGCAGGGTGAGCCAAATTTCAAAAGAATTAAGGTTTGAATTGGCTTTGGAAATGTTAGATTGGATAAGCCTCTTGTATTTTTTCAGAAAATAATAAGACTCTAATGGCACACTTTGTGTGAGTTGCACTGTACAGCATTTGACTATGAGAAGGGGAGAATCATAACAAAATACAGAAGCAAAAACAACAACGAAACAAAATGAAACAAAAATGATGTTTTATCCCAAATGCAATTCCAACTACTTATTAATCTCAAAGCAGTACTTCCTCTAACATCAGAAAAATCAGGCTGTTCTCCCCACTGTGTTCTATGGCCTCTTTTTGCTTTTCTTATATTTTTGCAAGGGGAGAATGGGTGGTGAAAGAATTTTCATCCCCATCAAGGAACAAATCTCTTCTTAAGCAGTGCACGAAAAGGTAAGTTCTTTGGTGCAGGGATATTCCGTGTTTGCCTAGGGCCTAGGGTAATGGGGTGCTCAGGTCTATATGACTGGGGCAGGTAAGCTATATGAATATTAATGATATAAAGGATGGCTTGAATCTCTTGACTCATTATCCTTTACTATGCAATTGGAAAGGAAAGAGCTTTAGAAAAGCTCAGATTTCCCCCTTGGCAGGGGTGGGGAGTGGGAAAGAAAGCAATGCCAGAATTCCTGCCAAGAGACTATTATCATCTTAAGAACCTGGAACTTTCTCTTTTTGAAGCAGTTCAAACCTATGACTAGGTTAATTTTGGGACTCATCCCAGAGTCCATGCTTGATAAGACCAGTATGGCCTGCTTTGTTCAAGTCCTGAGAAGGACTGACCTCCTACGTTCAGATGCATCTCCAGAGAAATTTTGACTCCGAGGGTTGCAGTGAGAGCATTAAGTTTCTTCCCCTGGCAGGGCTCCTCACAGATGGGCCCCCACTCTTGGCTTCCTGAACCATCCACCCTATTCTGCCATGCTTAAGGAGGAGAGAATAAACTGACAAGCAGTAGCTCATTTAGTGGTCCCAAAAATGGAAGATCACTGAACTGCCACTCTCTGCATGACTATGTAACTGGAGGCAGAAAACCTGTGTGTGGGTGGAAGGAGTACAGCCAAGCCCTAGAGCCCAAAGGACAAGTCTGAGCTGCTTTTGGTATTTCCAGGAATAAAAAGAGACAAGGCATAAAATATCTGGACTTGAGGAAAGGAGTCTATATCCAGAAAAGACTTAAAAATCATCTCTAGTACAGGACAAATACTTGGCAGATTCTGAACCCCATGAGTTCCACATGTAATTCTAATTAACGAGACTGCTGAAAATTTAAAAAAAAATAGTATTCCTTAAAAATCTCAACTGGATTTCATTCCAGACAGGCCCTTTCAACTGTGTTGCATTTTAGACTCTCCCCAATAAAACTGTCGTCTTCAAATGGGTTCAATATTTCAGTTGATTAAAAACAAACTCCAAAAAATCCTCCAGACCCCTGTACGCAAAATTTCTCTCTCAAGTGAGTGAGATCATTGAGAGGCTTTTCTGAACTGCGACACGCACACACTTGAGAGATTTTTGTTAGCCATGATCCAAGTTTTCAAAACATGTTTTTCTTCATATGAATCTTAACACTTATAATGGACCTCTGTTCTCTAGCACAAAACAGCAAGAGTTGTTTTGTCAAACTATCATTTCTTTTTTGGACAAAGCCAGTTATGAAGCTATTCCTTGGAGATTTTAAAGCACAGACTAGATGAACAACAGAGAACTTGGAAGAGAGGAAAGTTAGAATGCCCAACCTGGTGAAAAGGGTAGGGGATAATATTCCAATATGAAAATTACTGTTGTGCAGAAGTTCTTTGCCAGGTGAGGTATTGCATCCCTGCCTGATTTAGAACTGCTCTACCACAAAGGTGCTACCCAAATGCAACAGATCGTTTCTCAGAGTACATCTGCCAAACTGTTACAGAAGTCTACAAGAAAAAATTCATAATTATTAAACAGATCTGAAATTATTACCTGTTTTCATAACAGAACTCATAAGTCTGTCCAAGGTTTGTACTGGAGAAGGCATCCCAAGAACAGGTCATTATACTGAAATCATGTGTTATACATCTCAAAGTCTGAGGTGCTTCTGAATAACCTGAAATTGTAATATCCACATCAGTTAATTACAAAGCTCTCTAACTGGCAGCTTATTGGCTGCATGCAACCTGCTCTCTCACCCAGCAGCTGCTAGTTGCATAGTGGATAGAGCCTCCAGGTTCTCCCTCCCTCTACCAGCTACAGCTTTCTGCCCTCACCCTTGCGAGTGGGACAGTACAGTACGGCATGGGGGAACTGAAGGCGAAGCCAGACTGCAGTGTGCACGTGTGTGCGCACGCCCATAAGAGAGCACACTGCAGAACTGGGTGCAGGGGTGAGGACGGAGGGAATCGTGTCTGCATGGGTGCAGTAAAGTATGGGGGGAAAGCACAAATTGAGCAAGGGGAGGGGGCATCTGCGTGGCCTGTGGCTCACCTGATGCAGCCAATGTGGCATGTGGATCCTGCTCGTGTGGCCCCCAGGGGCTTACAAGTCAGACAACCCTGAGTTACAGTATTACGATTCAATGTCATACTCCACGATTGAAGCTACTGTCAAGTATAAACTCTTAACAGTTGCTTCATCCTTAAACATTCACAATATGTTTTAAAATCTTTTACATATGGAATGGTACAGTCTGCAGCCAAAGTGTAACATAGATTACCTATGATCTTTGATGCCACCTCACCTGATATACCTTAAGACCACTTAATTTTTGGAGACTCTCAAAAGATTGAGGTCACTTTTGAAAAACCTGGCTAAAGACTCTACTATACTGTACCAGTTAATTAGTCAATACGGTTATACTAGAGTAAGGGTGTCAAAGATATGACCCATGGAGCCCTATCAACCAGCCCATGATGCTGCCCATTGTTCTTAGAGTGGACCCACATGCAAGGTCAGATTGGGATGTGAGCTGCACATAGTGCCTGTGTGCAGCTGGTCCAGGATGTTGGATCTAGTATGCAGAGCTGATCTGCAGGCCCAGTCAAGCCCATGGACTGGTTCCATACCATTCATCTGGCCCATGGGGCAAGACAAGTCTGAAACCCACGTACTAGAGGATTGGTATACTACTGCAATGGTTACCAACCAGTTGATCTCAACTGACTGGTTGATCATGGAGCCTCTGACAGTCTATCAGAGGCTCCACAATCGGGAGCGGCAGGACACATGTGGCTGGGCTGAGCCATGTCCTCTGCCTCCCAGGCTGGGCTGGGTGAGTGGAATAAGAGCCTGGGCAGCTTGTCCAGGAGGCAGAAGCCAGGGTGAGGAGCAGTAGATCCTGGGGTAACCTTTACTTACAAAAAGTGATCTTCACCATAAAAGGTTGGAGACCACTGTACCACTGGGTCCATGCCCTTAGTGTGCACACCTTCTATGATGGAAGATATATAGCAGATTCTTCGAGTCAGATTGCAGATTTTATCATAAAAACTCCCCTTCCACATTTTACATATACAAATAGGTGATGTTCGCTAGTTTAGCTTGGTATTTGAGTTGATTTGGTTTCTAATAGAGCAAGACTTCAGAAAAGCTAACTCTAGTGTGCTCAGGAGATTAGCTAGTGAGGCATTAAAGTTCAAGTGCACTGGTGAAATGGGGGTCCAGGAAGGGTGGTCATTCCTGAAGGGAGTGATCCTATGGGTGCAGAAGGAGACAATCCCATTGCACATAAAAGGGGGCAAAGGGACCAAGAAGCCCTCTTGGCTGAACAGGGAAGTCCCAGAAAGCCCAAGGGCAAAGAAAGAAGTATACAGGCTGTGGAAATAGGGGGTACCTACCAAGGAGGAGTATACTTTCCTGACTCGCACTTGCAGGGAATCAGTTAGGAAGGCCAAAGCAGGATTAGAATTTAGGCTGGCAACAAAAACTAAGGACAACAAAAAGTCCTTCAGGTATATAGGGAGCAAAAGGAAGGTGCAGGGTAGCATAGGACCCCTACAGGACACACTAGGGCAACTGGTGACAGAGAGGGGGGACAAAGCTGAGCTCTTCAGCGAGTTCTTTGCATCTGTATGCCTAGACACAGACCAAGACAAATCTCCCAATTGGATCATAGACACAGGAGGGACACCAACCCACCAACTGTTAGCGCAGACTTAGTGAAGGAGCATTGGAGGGGCTGGATGCGTTCAAATCAGAAGGCCTGTGTAAACTTCATCCAAGGGTGCTGAAGGAATTGGCCAGTGTTATAGCAGAACCACTGGCATGACTGTTCGAGCACTCATGATGCTCTAGTCAGGTCCCAGAGGACTGAAAAAGGGCCCATGTGGTCCCTATTTTCAAGAAGGGGAGGAGGGAGGAACCAGGAAACAATAGGCTAGTTAGTCTCACCTCTATCCTTGGGAAAACTGGAAAAAATCATTAAGGATCACATTTGTGGGAGCCCAGCAAAGGAAATGATGCTGAAAGGAAGTCATCATGGGTTCACTGCAGGTAGATCCTGCCCGACTAACCTTGTTTCTTTTTATGACCAGGTCACAAAATGCTTAGACACAGGAGTTGAGGTAGATGTCATCTACCTAGATTTTAAGAAGGCCTTTATTTACGAGAACAGAATGAGATATCGTATCAAACTGACAAGCAAGTACAAAGTGCTGCACCTGGGCAAAAAGTCCCACCAACACACTTACAGGCTAGGGGATGACCTTCTCAGCAGCACAGCAGTGGAAAGGGATCTTGGAGTTAGAGCTGACTCCAAGATGAACATGAGTCATCTGAACATGAGTCATCAATGCGATGAAGTAATCAACAAGGCTAACCTCACTTTATCATGCATTAGGAGATGCATGATGAACAGGTCCAGGGCGGTGATGCTTCCCCTCTATGCGGCACTGGTCAGACCACAGCTGGAGTACTGCGTCCAGTTTTGGGTGCCATGCTTCAAGAGGGATGAGGAGAATCTTGAGAGGATTCAGAGGAAGTCACTCGTATGGTCAGAGGCCTACAGGCAAGGCCCTACAAGGAGAGACTGAGGGACCTAGATCTCTTCAGCCTTCGTAAGAGAAGGCTGAGAGGTGATCATGTGACTGCCTATAAATTCATCAGGGGAGGGCAGCAGAGAATGGGAGATTCTGTATTTACTAGGGCACCCCCAGAGTAACTAGGAACAATGGCCACAAATTAACAGAGAGCAGATTTAGGTTGGATGTTAGAAAGAACTCCTTCACAGTAAGGGGTGCCAGAATCTGGAATGGGCTTCCAAGGGAGGTGGTGCTCTCCCCTACCCTGGGGGACTTCAAGAGGAGACTGGCCCAGGGCAGGGGGTCAGACTCAATGACCAACTAAGGTCCCTTCTGACCCTAACATCTATGAATCTAAGAAAAGACCCAAACCCTAGAGACACTGAGTAATGTCAATTCCCCTTGATGTCTTATCATGAGGTTGGTGAAAGATCAGCATATTACAAAATTAAGTCCTTACCAGTTACACCTGTGCATTTTGATGTAATAAATTCTTAGGACCTACTGCAAAAAGATGGTATATGCAAATGCAATTGCTTTGAAATGAATTGAGTATAGAAACCTGTTAAATTTTGTTATAATTTTAAACCATTTATAGGTACTGAATGTTGGGTGCTCAAAATGAAGCAATCAGGACGAAGTAAAATCTAAAATTCATAGTTGGCCATGTCGCCAAATCACTGTATTGCCCAAATCGAACTTTCTAACTGCCTATTACTGACTGTATTGTGTACAATACAGCCTATGCAACTTTAAAGAGGAAAGTACAGCTACTATAATTCTTGTAAAACTAAACTAGCTTGAATTTCCAGAAATCCAATTACTTTAATACACAAGCTTTATATGGGGAAATCTGGGTGGAAAAAAAGAGATAAAAATTTTCCTCCCTCCACTAACGTAGGGCATAAGGATACCATTATGCCCCGCTACCGGCTAAAGATACTTTTACAGCCTAGAGGCAAAAAAGGTGATGTTTACCAGTGCCCTCCTCCCAAGCCCTGACATGGAGGTCAATGAAGTTGCATCTTGAACACTTCCAAAGGCCATGCTGCCAAACTCCATGATCAACTTACAGTGCCACCTATCCTGGAAATGAAAGCATTGATCAATGATGTATGGACCTCGACCTCTTTGCCTACATCAGGGGAGGGTAAAATATGGCTCATGGGCCATATCCAGCCTGCCAACTGATTCTATCTGGTCCATGGGCAGGCGGCATGGGCAGCAGCTTTGGCTCTGGCCACTGCTGGTGCTGTAGGGGATGCTGGGTGGAAGCAGCTCTGCCAGTCTGCCCACCCAGCTCTGTGCAACAGGCCCTGGGCCCAAACCCCCACTTAGTATAGGCCAGTGGCACCCTGCCTGCCTGTGCCTTGGAGCTGGTGGGAGTTGCCCCAGGTGCTAGGACCATGTGATGGGCACTCTGCACCTGTACCCAGAGGCCGCAGAGCTTTCCCGGCACCTCCTCGTGGGTGAAGCCCTGGTTTGGCCCCACCTCCCATCTTGCCCCATGCAGTGCTACAAGTTTGCCCAGTCAGCTGCCACCTCCCAAATGCAGCCAGCACAGCTCCTATCCTGTTGCTGCCCCCAGTACCCTAGGGCTGGGACTCCTTCTGGGGAAAGTGGGACCCCTGGGCTATGGGTGGGTACAGTCTGTGTGCCCTGGCAGGGATCTTTGGGAGGCTGGAGGGGGCTGCTGGGCATCCCCAGGCTTTGTGGGAGCAAGTGTGGATGGAAAAGGGTGCAGGACAGGCAGGTCTGAGGTGCAGGTGACTTGAAGGGTGTGTTGCGGAGCAGGCTGAGGCAGGAGTTTCTTTGTGATATGTGGGGTGGCTAGGTTGTGGCAGGGCTCTGCTGGGGGTGCAGTTGTCCTTTGGCCGAGTGTCCTTCTGGCTGATTTTGGTTGCCTTGGGAGAGAAGCTTTCTTTTGAGCTATTATGCAATCCTCTCTATATACACTACTCAAACATAAATCAGGACAAAAATATTTTTTAAAATAATATTTATAATAGACGTTTAATTGTTAGCGTATGGTTTTTTTATCTACTATTTGTTAAAATTGTATCTTCCCCACTAATGTTGTGTGTGGCTCTCAACAGCTCACAACTCATTAAGTGGCCCTCAAGCTGGAATAACAGCTCACCCCTAACCTACACACAGGGGAGTCATTTATACCAGTGCACGCAAATTATTTATATCAGCACAAACCTGGGTGTAAAAAGCTTCCAGACCACAACATAAGAGACTCCCTAAGAGGTAGGACATTGGAAAATCAGGCCCAGTATTTCTACACAGTAGATCTTGCAAGATTATAGGGGTGATATGACCTGAGCCAAACTACCTGATGAATGCAAGGTAAGTACAGAGTATATACTGTGCAGGTGTTATATGAACAGTAATCAATTAGTATATGGCTCTAACCACTTACCTGTCTCTTGACTATAAAGTAAGCTGGTCAGATGTAGGCAAGCTACCACTAAAAGACATCGAAGACTTGGATTATCCCACATTATTTTACTGTTGACTAGTCAAGAGGTCAAATCTCAAGCAGGTATAAACTTCATCTTCTGCTCATATTGTTCACGTTCTGAAACAAATAATAAAAATAATCCTCCTTGGAGTCACAGAAAATGTCTATTTGGTATTAAACAGCACAAGTTTTCTACAGTTGTATGTTTGGTACAAGGCTAAAATACTGGTTATATTACTTGCCCAGAGGGTGTGGTCATTTCAAAACATTTGGTAACAGTTAATGACATGTAAATTACTCCCAAAAGAAACACAGGACTGGAAGTGAACAGTCACAAAATGGGAAGAGACACAAGTAGAGAAAGTATCCCTCCCATTCTGAATTTTCATCAGAAATATAGTAAAGTAAATCTTGAAAAAACATATTTGGACAAATAAAAGTCAGTTTCACATGAAAAAGAACACGCCTAAATTTTCCAAGGAAAGTATTTTGAATACCCAATTTTCCACTGATGAACAGTTTTGACTATTTAACCTTTTCACAGATAAATCAAAAAAGATACATGACATACAAAGTCAACAGAAATTCATTCCTACACTGCAGTCATAGCAGTAACTGCAGTGCTGTATACACATGCCAAAGCTCACTGTTAAACTTAGATTTGGAGCCTGGGATCGTCTAACATAATGAAACAGCAGGGTAGGCTATTTTACCCAGCCTCTCAGACAGATTTTGCAGCTTGTATTGAGCTCTGAGTGGGTATGGCTTTACTGTTGTAGAGCAGCATACCCAATGATAATCTCTATTTTATCTCCTTAGATAAGCATATTCAGATAAACAGATTTACTAAGGACAGACTGTGCCAGACCACCAGGTATATCTGTCTGATAAGATGACTGTTTAAAAAACAAAAAAAGAGACAGAAAGAAAAGACAAACACAGTAGATCTAATATCTGGACTTTGGTAAAGCACTTGGAATAAAGTACCATGGAGGTAATCATCAATTAAACCAGAGAAGATGAGTATTAACTGTTCTTTACTTATCTTACAATTAATTTTTCTTGAGGCAGGATTATAATAGATTGCACCAAAGGGCAAGCTATCAGACTTCAGTAAATAGAACTTCATAAGGTTTCAGACCAGTTTAATTTTTATTACTATCCATGGGTACAAAATGTAGGAGTGTCTACATCATATTCAAATTTAATGCAAAGTTGAGAGACATCCACAATACAGAGGAGAATCTGAATATTATGCAGTGAGAACTTGATAACTGTGAGGACCAGAGTAACAGAAACTGTACACTTATTAAATTATATTCTAAGTGCAAAGTCATACTCATTGGGACTAGTAACAAGAAATGTTCAATAATCAGCTACAAAGAGAAAGACTGGGACATTCTAGCTGATCACTGAGTGACCGTGTCAAAGTTAATACAACTCAGAAAAAAAACAAAAAACAAAGACAAAAAAAACAAAAAAGGCAGTGTGATCCTGGGATACAAGAACAGAGATATGTCCACTAGGATATATCTAGTTGTTAAGGGTTAGTATAGCCTGATCTAGAAAACCAGGTACAATTCTGGTTATTCATGCTTTAAGGAAGATGAATTTGAATTGGAAAATGTTCCTGGGAACAATCAGGTGAAGTCAGTCTATCCTAAGACATGAGGCTGAAAGAACTGGCTTGTTTTGCCTGGAAGAATAACAAAGATAAAGAAAAAGATGGGGTTGTCCTCTATAAATGACTTCCATGAGACAAACACCAGACAGCAGCAAGAGGCATTTAAACTAGATGACAACTTTGGCATGTAAACAAATAGATATAAAGTAGCCATAAATAAGCATAAACTGGTAAGCAAAAGGTTTCTAAACATCATGGGAGTGAGCAGGGGCAGGCAAAGTTTGGCTCACGGGCTGCCAGTGGACTCCATTTCCCAGCAGCCTCTTCCTGAATGATTGGGGGCAGTCTCCATAGGACCCCAGCTGCACCTGTGCTATGATAGCTCAAGGCTGGAGTTGCCATGGAGGCCAGTCCCAGCCATGCTGGCAGAGCATGTGGCAGAGCAGAGGCAGCTTGGTCCATGGCCAGGGCAGAGCCATGATCTGCAGCCTTCATGCTCCAGGCAGGGGTGTCAGACAGCAGATCATGGCTTATCCTAGCTCAGGACCAAGCCATCACTGCTGCAAAGAGCCAGAGAAGAGCTGCGATCTGCAACTTGTGTGCCCCAGCGTGGAGCACTCAGGCTGCAGATCGTGGCTCTGCCCTGGCCTTGGACCAAGCTGCCCCTGCCACAAGATCCCAGCAGCTCCAGAGCTGCCCTGCTCTGCCCTGCTGCATGCCCTGCCAGCTATCACAGTACAGGTGGGACTGGGGTCCCCAGAGACTGGCCCCAGTCATGCAGGGAAGGGCTGCTGGGAAATGGAGTTCAGCTGCCTGCTGGATCTCTGCCATTTTGCCCACCCCTGGTCTATGACAGCAAGAAACTGGACTTAAGGGTTCAAGACTCTTCTTTTGAGTCTTACGTAGAGCTAGTATAGAAAATCTTTGGTAGTAAAAATCTCACACAGACACATGGAAGATGCCACATCTGAACCATACAAGCATGAATGAAAATGCTCAGTCAGTCAAACTGTGCCTCAAATGTACGCTCCTACCTCTCTCCTTGCTTTAACCCTCAGTATCAAAATTCAAACCTACCTGCTCCAGTTATCTCTTGTCTGCCACCTCCTTTCAGTGCTTAGCTCTTTTCCTACATTTCTCCCAAGCCTTTTGCTATATTTCATTTTTTTATGTTCTTTGTTCATCTTCAGTTCTGCCCTAAGGCCTAATGCTTCTTCCCTTTCTTTATTTTTCTTGCTGTATTCAAACCCCTCCTTTCAAGTAA